ATGTGTTTCAACCGGAACATGTGTTTCAACCGGAACATGTGTTTTCAACCGGACCATGTGTTTCAACCGGAACATGTGTTTCAACCGGAACATGTGTTTCAACCGGAACATGTGTTTCAACCGGACCATGTGTTTCAACTGCTGGATAACCGGGAGGTTGACCAACTGATGCAGCAGCTGGTCGATGAAGGTCAGGGTAGATGAATACCACACACCTATGTGCGACATGGGGTCCACGACGGGGAGAGAAACTGACTGTGCGTCTGATTTTGAACACGGCAGACAAGTAGCCGATAGTTCAGGAGAACAGATTGATTGCAGAAGAGAGGTTTACGGTTGTCACGGGCGGGTCGAAATGGTACGATAAAGTGTCGGGTTGTTTACTGCTAACAGTGTCGGGTTGTTTACTGTTCATGACAACCGTGGGGATCTCATCATTAGAGTATTTTCGATGCTCATGCTGGACTGAAAGATACGTGCACATTCAGTGTGTATATATGTTCGCGAAAAGTGAATGGTGAGATAGCCTACTGCAAACAACGACTTTGGTGTTGCCGAAATCATGACAGAGAGTCTGTGCAGTACGACTCCTAATGGTAATGAGATTGGGTTGCGGCTGTCGAGTGGTTCATAGTCTGCTGAGTGATGGACGGTGCAAACATGATCATCACTGGTAGCTTTAGGGTTGATAACGACTGTTGGTGAATTGCTTAGATATGCATGCTTGTTTGTATGCTTGTTTCGTATCATATGATCATTAAATTGATCATTAAATTGATCATTAAAATCGTGATAGGGGCCATCAAAAGGTGATGGTAGACCTGTTTTTTTTTGTAGAAAGTGTTTGCGAAGTATAGACACACGTTTTTTATCAATAAGTATATCACTATCTGTTTGATTTACATAATAGCTTGATCTAGTAAATAATTCATGGCGTAAATCACAGGCAACATCAGTACATCGTTTCGCAATCTGACAGATTAAATCAGCCCATGGATTCATAGGTATACAAACACTCAAATGTCTGAATTGACATATTTTAAGACGACTAGCAATAATAACACATCCTGCTAGATCTTCAACTACATTTTTATTCAGTCCTAATGCTATCTTGACAGCAGTACGATATAACTGAGGCGGTAAAAATGCGTATTTTATCATCCGATAAATTAATCTTCGATGATATAATTTCGTACCATTCATATCTAGTACCAAATTAATTGAACTATTTGACTTAGATGTATTTGACTTAGATGTATTTGACTTAGATGTATTGGATTCATGATCATAATTAACTTCATTAATAATATTGCATATATCTTTCGCAGTATTGATAATATAATTTACCGATGGTGGTATAGAAGGTGTGAATGGATTAACCTGATGTTTCTTCATTTGCTTGGCAATTCTTCGATGGGTCCTTTTAGGATTCAGATTAATTTTTTGAGTTATCCATGAAGGTATACTATATGACATGGTCGCCAATGTTGGGCTGCCAACAGCATAGAGGATACGACCATCTGAAACCCAGCGCATAAGATCCGATGCTGTTACTGGTATGTCTACCCTTAATGCCGCCACATACAGGATGGATAGTATACATCGCTGATCCAAATTTAACCTCTCAGCAGAACTTATTCCGGGATCGATCGTTCGCAAACACACTCTCTCAGGCGTCCTGCCAGATATCCTACCAGCCGTCGCGCCGCTCTGATAGTCCTCGATATGCTTGAACAGACCTTCGAGGAAGTCAAAAACCACACGAACCCGATGGGACGCCGCCGAACCGATGATGAAGGCAGGAACGAACGGCGTCGTGTTCTGTTCGCTTTCCTTAACGAAAGCCTCAAGAACTCTCTTCACGGCCTCGCAAAAAACTCCCGCGTCGCCTCGCCTCGCCGACCGCACAAGTTCCATGACGACTACATCCACAGCTCCCTCGTCGTGTGCCCGCCTGTCGTCGCCTTCACGCGAGTCGTTTCCGGGGTTGATCGCCGCTAGCCATTGCAGGACGGGACTTTCCGAGAACCCACTCGCCACTTCGTCGTCTGTCTCCCACTTGCTGCACTGTTTCAGCGACCAGTAGATGTAAAAGTAAGTGAAGTCGTGGCAGTAAAGTAGCCGCACGTAAAGCTGTAACAGCTCGGGTCCGGCCGCATGCGCTCCGTGAAGAAACGAGCGACTCTGCAAGGCCTTGCGCACTTCGCCTTGTGTAAAACCCACAAGGTTCTTCGCCAAAACGCTGCCCATCCGCCAGTCGTCCCAATTCCCCACCTTTCGCGGCGACCACCGACTCTTCCGGGACCACGGAGACGCGCCCTCCTTCACCTCCCGCAAATGCCGATACACCACGTCGTCTTCCCCTCCCCCCACCGCCTCCGGTTCCGCCTCCGGTTCGCGTCCCACCGCCTCCGGTTCCGCCTCCGGTTCGCGTCCCACCGGTTCCGGTTCCGCCTCCAGTTCGCGTCCCGCTTCGGACACACGCGCGTTCTCTAACAACCGCAGTTCCGAGGACGCAGTCTCAGTCTCGCACAACAGCTTGCTCGCATAGTCCACCATGCTCGTCGACATAATCTTGGTGAGCGTTACATAAATTCTCAACCAGCCCGGAAGCTCCGATCCCAAGTGG